TTAAGTTTAAGTGGATTTATTATAGAACTGAGTATATATTTTAATTTCACATCTAGGCACATTTCTTTATTATACCTTTAAAAGCTACAACAGACTAAGGAACTGTTCAGATGAAAATATTCACCTGAAATGCATGTGATGATAGCATTCATAAAGTATCAGAGCAAAAGGGTTTGCTTTTACAAAAGATTGGACTGAATGTTTAATTTCAGAGTTTGTGGCACATAGAGATCACTACTAACATTTTAAACATTTTACATTATTTTTCAATTGCTTACTTTCCTACCTTTTATTTGGAAAAATAAACATTTAATTTCCCTAAAGCCATTTTGTATAAGTTTAAAAAGATGAAATAAACAACAGAAATTGCAGTATCCTGGCTAGGGTAGGTAATATTTAAAAGTTCGCTGCCTTTCTTAATCTATTTCCTTAACCTATTTAGTTTTTTTTTATATAACCTCCACTGAAACAGGACTTTTGAACATTCAGGGTAGGATGATAAGTTTCCTAATTAAATGAGGTAACACAAAGGACAGGTGTGTCTCCCAGAGAGGTATTCAATACAAGCCACCCTTGCCATTCTGGTAATTAATTTCAGATTAAAGATTCCTCTAAAAGTTCATTGTTATTTGATATATGGTGATCTCTATAATAGTAATAATTACTAAGAATATGTCTCAATAATGAACTGGTTAAGTATAACATTATACAAACCTGACTAAACTAGGAAAATTATTTTCTGTAAAAAAACAATCCAAATGATCTTCTGTTCCTGAGTTTTCAGGAAAACACCACTCAAAAATCTCATGGTCATAAAAATTGTCATGTTTAGAAAAATTGAACATTACTTAAGATAACATAAAAATGTGACCTATCAAATGACTTTTTATCAGCCAAAATAATATCTTATCAGGACTTCCCTTATAAAAAGGCAAGTTTTCTTTTTTCCAAATGAGTTCTATTATGTATATTCATTCACTTGATTCAAATTTAAATTGGGTCTAGTAAGAGTAGGTCATTTTGAAAGCTGGTCATTGGGAAAGTTGTAACTTAAAATGAATTTAAAATAAAATTAATTTAAAGCTTTGAAAATCAAGCTTATGGTTTTTAAAATAGAAAAAAAGATCTTGTGCTTTTGTTCTAACTCTAATGGGTAGAAGTTAATGATTTCAGTACTATTTTAAAGGGAGAAAAATAAATTCCACATACCACCCCAAACAAATTTGTAATTAAACTATAAATTTGGATAAATGAGGTCAAATTGATATACTAGAATATGGACCAGAGTGATATTTAAAAGTCAGAAGTGACAATACTTTATCCCAGTATTTTCCACCATATAAAGAAATAATTTTGCTTAAAATTATAGAAGGACGATTTTGGGAAAATGCAATTTAAAAATTAGTTCGTATCTTTTCCTTAGTCCACATTAATATCCTTAGGTACTTAAATCCATGCCACATCTCAAATTTAAGTTGAAGTTATTTTGTTAGCATGTCTACCTTTTCTTTCCTAAGAGTTATGAAACATCCTGATGACAGGTGATGACACAGTTATTGTCTGAGCAATATGGGAATCAAAATAAAGCTATTAACAGTGTTAATATTCTGTAGACTAAATCACATGAAACAGTTTTACCTAGTAATACAAAGGAATAGCTGTCTATATCAATTTCTAAAACATTACAACCAGGATTATGCTAAATATATAGTCTACACTCAAGGCATATTATTCCACACTACGATTAAGATATAGTAAAGGAAAGACCACTTTTTGAAATTGGTGCTGAAAATAGAAACTGTCATAACAGGCTTCTTCCAAAGAACTCTCCTTGGATTATTATTTACCTCAAATCCCTATCTGCCATTTTCTTGACTGTCAATTTAATAAATTTGAACAAAAGAGTGGTAAGCTAGCCAAACCCACAATCACCATTCCTCAAGCATCTTTTGGGTTACACATACTTTCATTGGAAATTCTTAGAAGAGAAATGGAGCTCTATCTAACCCAGACCGTTTTATTTTCTGAAATATATGTGTGCTATTTATATAGTGTCCTTGATTAAGAAGTCTAAGAACTTAAAAATTTTAAGTGTTACCAACTTGAGAAACAAACCCAAATTTGACAATAAGGTGTCAGAACAAAAACAATATGATGACTAACAAACATTCAATTAGCCTGTGTGATGCCTTTCAAATGTATCATGCATCTATACTTAAAATTACAATGATGTCATAGGGGCTGTAGTAAAATGTCCTTTCACTACATGGTTGTTCTAAGATAGTATTTACTTGTTACACAGTAGCTACACAATATATTTAGGCAGCAATCACAATGTCACAGTACAGTCTCATCTTTCTGATAACATCCTACTACCATTACATTTTATTACAATATGGCCATTAAATTAGTTTTGTCATAATCTGAGTAAAATACTATATTAGAATAAAAATATAGTTTAAATTGCTTATACTTGTGTGTATACATATTAGTAGCCAAATATCTCACTTTCCAAATCATATAAAATAAATCTGAAGTGTTTGCTCTCATGACCACACAAAACAGAAAATCAAAATACAAAAATGTCATTAATAAACTAACAACAATAGAAATACTTTTAGAGAAATTATTATTACAAATGTAATATTCCTATTATCCCAACTGTTCAACTTCTGTGCATTTTGAGAATGAATTGCATCAATGCAAAATATATTTGAAAATATCCAAAAACTTATACAGTTTCAATCATCCTAATGAACATGAATTTTTGCATAAGCTTGTATTTTAGCATAAACTTGAATCCTAGGGTTCTCCACACCCCAAACAAATCTGGAATTTTTAAAAATTACTGTTCAAGTTTATATTTTTGTAGAAACACATGTGGAAGGTGCTTTGAGTTCTCTTTTTTGGTGGGTGCTTGAAGACTATAATTAAATCACTGTTAGATTCAATGAATGGTCAAAATTCCTTGAAAACAAGTCCTCAAAAATATGAGATAGCTATTAATTCAGAACACTACATTTGAACCCTATAGATCAGCTCACATTGTCGCAAGTTATGTGACTGTTTATATTACTCCTAAATTTGCTTTTAGAAGTAACACCTAACTCCATCCTATGTGTTTCACAATCTCTTGTATGTTTTTTCCTGACAAATTATTTTTCTTTAACAAAAAATTTATGAAGAAACTACTAAGTTCCAGGAAATGTGCTAGGTACATTTTGTTACTTTAATGAGGAATTGAAGGCATGATGCCACATTTGTGGCCTTTTTATTTGGAGAGTAATAGTCATCAAGTGAATGAAACTGCAAATTTCCATTGAATTAAAAAATATACATATAAAATGACTAGGAATAGCTTTGAAGCTTTAAGTTCAAATATAGGAGGCTACCAAGTGAGGCTCACAGGGAGACAATGTGAAATGAATAGTTGCTAACTATATATTTTGAAAATACTTAAATTTATATAGAAATACTGGGGATCCAGTTAGTACTCAAAATAACAGAATCGAGAAGCCATACTCTTTTTCATAAGTTGCTTGTCTTGTTATGTACTTCTGCACTAAATGTTTGAAAAGCTTACCTTGCAGGGTGAAGGGGAGGGGCGGATTATGGAAAATGTCAAGTAGCAAGATAAGCAAATGCAGGGGCAATATATTACAATACTGCACCAGATATAACAGACACATACAATGAAAGCAGTAATGAAGTATAATAGACCAATTTTAACAAGGCAGCATTCAGACAGAAATTAATCAATAAACTTTATTAACACAGCATATACTTCCTACCAGGCTAATGTGGTCAACACTTTCAACATAACACTTATTAAACAAGCATACTCCTTCAGTAGGCTTTTCATGAAAACTTCCATAAATTATAAAGGAAAGTCTAGGAAACTGGACTTCTTCCCGTTAAGATGTGCATTAAATTAAAACCTACCCGTTGGTATTTAGCAGCAACCAACTCTGGGAAGCAAAATGTATATAGAAAAAAAAAAGTTTTAAAAATGCACATATTTAATGCAAACAGGAATTGAACCATCAAATTACAAAAGATGGCTTTAACTACTGAGTCAACATACATCTTTCATATACAGTCTTTTAAAAGCCAACCTGGTTTAAGATTTAAGGAAATAAGCAGCCTGGTGGTGAATGAGTGGGAAATACATTTTTCAGTATTTTTGACTAAAGCTCTTCTCTTACAAGGATAAAAACTTTGTACTTCAGTGCGAGCAGTGAGCTACTTGAGGTTGGCAGAGAGAGGGGTGTACTCAGATACCATGAGGGAGTCCTAGCTGAAAGCCTAACCATTTTCCATATAGTAAAGCTTCTCTTTCACTAGGAAGCCTATAGGGATCCCATCCTAATCTGAGAATGGGCTAATGGACAGAAGGCAAGAAGAGAGTAGGGGCATTAAAACGGGTTTGGTTAACAGCACTTAGAAATCTTGCATCCCTTCCTCCCCTTCCTCAAGCCAGGGCTCTCCTTTCCACGTCTCTGAGGGGGAACACTTGAGGGCGGGGATCAAGGTGGCTCTCCCGACAGGCCCCCTCCCTAAGTTTTCCCTCTGGTGAGCCCACATCCGTTCTGAACCGACCTAAGAGCTGGTCCAGGGCGGGGAGCCCGGTTGATACCAGCAGTTGTCCATTCCGCAACGACGGTCGCGTGCCCGCAATAGACACCAATCGAGGGCCGCTGCTCTCAGTCCCACCGGCTTTAGGACCCCTCCTCTGGAAACTGGTGATGTTGCTCTTTCGGGCTGCCTCTGCCACAGACTTGGTACTCGCCGCGCCCGAGCCGCAGGTTGCCTCTGCCGCCATCTTGGAGGCTCGTGCGCTGACCCAATAGGAGCCCTGGGAACTCAGGCAGCCGGCCTGTCAGAGTCAGCGCCTAACTCCCGCCTCTTCGCTCCGACCGTCGCTCCAGTAGCCAATAAGACTGAGAGGTCCCTCACGAGCCAACCAATCGCAAGGCGTATTGCTGAAAAGTGCGCAGACGTAAGGACGGAGGACTTCTGCGGAACCCAGGTGAGAAAGGCCCACCTGAGTCTTGGGTGAGTGTCTCCCCGGGTTCTTTGGGGCCAGAGGTGGGTAATGTCATTCTCCTTTCTTCTGGTATTCCTTGCTTTCATTCACGTTGAGTTAAAGAAAAGATTGGTGAAGCAAGAAGCCCTAAGGGCTTAATCAAGCCACTGATTAAGCTGGAGTTTACGTCTACCTTTCTCGATAGTAAAAAGGGGAGATGTTTTCCCCCGACCCTTTCTCTTCTGATTTCTAAAGGAAGATCCGTTCCGTTCCTCATGAGGCTTTTTTCTTAATGATTGTCTTATCTCGAAAGGATTGTAACTGTTAACGAGTTGCTTGCTGACCGTCTGGGGTTAGTTCTTTAGTACTTAGTTGGGTTGGATGTTTGACTTTAGAGTGAAAAACTCTTGAACTTTGAGACGATTTTGTTTTCCTGTCTGATAAAATATACATCTTTGAGAAGTGCCCGCGAGAAGCTTTTGTTATTTTTAATTAGTGCTTCTGGAAATCTTGGAGCGTCTTTCTATAAGCGGTGTGAATGACAAGTGTTACTCTGACAACCTTGTTCACACATTTAATTGTGGTTTGCTGTTATAAAGCAGCTGCAGATAATAGACAATACTTCAGTTCTCTTTTTAAAAAAACCCTGATATTAGATGTGTAGTTCTAGTAATTTGTGATCTCTAGTAATTTGTGAATCTTTCTTATTACAGTGTAAATTTTATATGTAAAAAAAAACATGTAATTTAGAGCTATGTTTTGGATTTAATTTTTTTTTTATTTTCAAATCAGATGTGGGGGTTGGGAGTGGGTGTTTTTAAAAGGCATTCATGATTGACAGATGGCCAAACTTTAAAAAGAACTCCAAAATCACCCCTGTACCACTGGTTACTCTTAACTCTGACCAATGATCTATGATAACTTTTATGTGTTTTCTTTTACTTTGTTTTGAGGGTCAAGGATCTCTAACAAGTTGTCCAGGCTGACCTCCAGCTCTTGGGCTTAAGTGATTCTCCTGCCCTCAGCCTCCTAAGTAGGCTGGAGATGTGGCTCAGTGGTCAAGTGAGTGCCCTTGAGTTCAATCTCTGGTACCCCCCACAACCCCCCCCCCAAAAAAAAAAACAAACCAATAGATTATTTTACATTTGAGAAAGCTTTGCTGTGAAGTAGAACAGAGGAAGATGGTAAAGGTTTGGGGAAAGGTTTTTTTTTTAATTCTTTTTATTCTAATTTGTTATATATGATAGCAGAATGCATTACAATTCATATTATAGATATAGAGCACAAGTTTTCATATCTCTGGTTGTATACAAAGTATATTCACACCATTCGTGTCTTGATACATGTACTTTGAATAATGATGTCCATCTTGTTTCACCATCATTTCTAACCCCATGTCCTCTTCCTTTCTTTCCCTCCCCTTTGCCCTATCTAGAGTTCCTCTATTCCTCCCATACTCCCCCTCCCTCCCCACTATGAAGCAGCCTCCTTATATCAGATAAAACATTTGGCATTTGGTTTTTTGAGATTGGCTTTGCTTAGCATCATCTTCTCCAACTCTATCCATTTACCTAAAAATGCCAGTGTTTTTATTCACTTTTTTTGCTGAGTAATATTCCATTGTGCATATATACCACAATTTTTTTTCTAAAGAGAGTGAGAGAGGAGAGAGAGAGAGAGAGAGAGAGAGAGAGAGAGAGAGAGAGAGAGAGAATTTTTTTTTTAATATTTATTTTATTT